CCATATTTTGAGACATGATGCTGCAATTTTTCTTTGTCAGTGGTTGAAGAAAAAAATAAAGAACAAAAGAAAGGAACCTATCTAGATCTGGGAAAAGGAGTTTGGAAGAGAGAATGAAGAGAGAAGGAAGAGAGGAAGGGAAAGAGAAAAGTCTGGTTTCTCTTTCCTCCGTAAAAATAATTATATAAATGCTAGAAAAGTAGAAAAAGACAAGAAATAAAATTCAAAAATCGGACAAAAATGCCCCTGGCCATCACCGCATTAACCACAGCCACACGATCAGCCCGGCCCAGATCTACGGTCCTAAGGTGGTTACTCACGAGTGAGTAACAACTCACCCTATCCTAAGCGACTTCTCCGCGACTATAATTCAATTGCAACCTAGTACAACAACAACAAAAAATATTTCTAGGTCACTCTAAATTCTTATCGTGGGCTAGCTCATTCAATCACTGAAAACGCGGTCACCCGATAAAGGTGAGATGAAGCAAGTCACCCTGGCCACCATCAATGCATTTACAACCTTTTAGATGTGTAGCAGCAAAGTCCTTTTTCTTGAAAACATATACAATATCATGACCAGCCATTCTGTGTGCATGCACCGCACCGACTCTGCCACCCGTACGTCATGATCAGTTGTGAATATAGGTGTCAATCGGGCGGGTTCGGGCGGGTTCGGGCTGGGTTCAATCGGGTTCGGGTTCAAACGGGTTGCGGGTTAGTCGGGCTGCGGGTTCATCGGGTTCGGGTTCAAACGGGTTGCGGGTTCATCGGGTTGTGGGTTCATCGGGTTCGGGTTCAATCGGGTTGCAGACAAAAGGGTTGTGGGTTCATCGGGTTTTGGGCCGGGCGGGTTGCGGGCGGATCGGGTTTCGGGTTGTTCGGGCCAGCGCATCGAGTAACTTACTCATTACTCGTTACCAACTTACACATTTTATTACACTAATTTAAAATATTTTTCTCAACTTTTTAACCAATTTATTTCTACATCGTATATATATACTTTTTTTTTTTTAAAAAAAACTAGTCAAAATGTTAAATCAATTTGTATGACTTGCAAACTTGTTATGTAATTAATCATAATTGGTAAAGTACACTAGCTAATAGTAATGGTGATATCAATATTTGCAACCAAAAGACACCATTAAATGTTTATTTGATATTTTAGTATTATTTCACTAGTAATTGGATTAAAGTATCTTGTTTAGTATAACCATGCAAATATGGTATTTGGTTTGTGGTATTTGGCAAAAGCAGAGTGATAAAAGGAGTTATTTTGAAATAACTCATTGCCCAAATAACTTCAGTAAACTATTGCCAAACGAGTTATTTGTAAAATTGTTTGAATTGTCTTAAAGATTAACTACCAAATTTAGTAAAATTATTGTGACTTCAATCATAACTTACTGAATAACATATATCTTATACAGTTAGCCTTATCCTCAATCGATAATATTAAGTTAGTATATGTTGTTGATTGAATACCCTAAACCATCAATACATTATACACTAAGCACATACCCTATACCTTCTCTGCCATGTTTCGAAACATCTTCAGTGCTTGCCTCTGTTGTCTTCAACTTGTTGCTGCTGCTGTGAAGTAATTAATTGGTTTATGGCTGTTGTGAAATGTGAACTAATGAATTGGTAATTAATCGTAATTGGTAAAGTAAACTAGCTAATAGCAATGGAGATATCAACATTTGCAACCAATAGACACTATTAACAAACCATATATTCAATAAATAAAATAACACTCTAAAAGCAAAGAAGAAAAACACTTTTTCCTATCTCAACATTTTTAGGGAGCAATATAGATTACCCCAAACGAAAATTGGATGACAATATAGATCAATCCAAACAAATGTAAATATGCACTTCCTCCTCTAGATATTTCCATCTTTCACGTGACGTGAGGATATGTAATTTAGATTAACTTAACAAAATTTTAAATTTTACTATTGTGAGTTAATTAAAATGATAGTAATGGTTGTTAAAAAAATCAAGGAAAGCTTCCCGTAAATATTTATGGGTTGGAAAGAATTCAATTGGTATTTATTGTGATAACCGATCCGGGCCACAAAGTGAGAAGTAGTCCCCACTGTAGATGATGTTCAATCGACGACAATGATAAGAGTTTTGTTTGGACGAGGATTGGTGACGGTGATGAAATTAGCTTGGGATTGGTGATGAACTATTCCGAATTTGTTACATTACATCTTTTCATAAATGAAAAGAAGGCGCGAGTCCATTTCCATTTCCCCCCAATAACCTCCGTTGTGGACTTCTCGTGATGGAACGTGAAACTAGATAACAACATTAATAAATATTAAGCAAAGTTCGAATATGGAAAATGGAATTGTTCGGGTTTCGGGTTGTTCGGGCCAGCGCATCAAGTAACTTAACTCATTACTCATTACTCATTACCAACTTACACATTTTATTACACTAATTTAAAATATTTTCTCAACTTTTTAACCAATTTATTTCTACCTCGTATATATATACTTTATTTTTTTCAAAAAAAAAACTAGTCAAAATTTTAAATCAATTTGTATGACTTGTAAACTTGTTATGTAATTAATCATAATTGGTAAAGTATTATAGCTAATAGTAACGGTGATATCAATATTTGCAACCAAAAGACACCGTTAATTGTTTATTTGATATTTTAGTATTAATTAATTAGTAATTGAATTAAAGTATCTCGTTTAGTATAACCATGCAAATCTGGTATTTGGCGTGTGGTAATTGGCAAAAGCATAGTGATAAAAGGAGTTATTTCAAAATAACTCATTGCCCAAATAACTTCAGTAAACTGTTGCCAAACGAGTTATTTGTAAAATTGTTCGAATTATCTTAAAAATGGAACCATTAAAGATTAGCTATCAAATTTAGTAAAATTATTGTGACTTCAATCATAACTTACTCAATAGCATATATCCTATACACTTAGCCTTACCCTCAATCAACAATATTAAGTTAGTATATGTTGTTGATTGTATACCCTAAACCATCAATACATTATACACTAACCACATAACCTATACCCTAACCATATGTCCTTGAGTTGTGATTTTGCTAGTATAGTTAATTTAAAAGTGAAATTCATACTTTGATTTTCAAAACATAGATAAAAAGTTATATTTGCTAATTGTTATACCCTAACCATATATCATATACTTTACACCACATACCTTGTACCCTAACCACATACCATAAGCATAAATTAAAAAGGGATCTCCTGCCGTTAAAGACTTCAAATGCCTTCAAGTGAACATATGTTAATAAAAAACTTAGAACCGTCAAAACCATCAATATCTTATACCCTAACCATATACACCCTAAACCATATGTACCTTATACACTAACCATATACTTCATATCTTAAACAACGAACCGTCAAAGATTACTTATCAAGTTTAGTATAAATTGTTGTAACTAATGGTTAATTCATTTATTAGCCCATAAACAATTACATACATATATACATATTAGCCTTCAAAGCATATAAGAATAATTTTAACTAGTCATGCTCTCCATATAAAAGTTAAAGATTCATATTTCAAAAGCTAAAATTATGAAAAACCAAAAAATTGAAAACACCAAATTTGTTTCCTTCTTTCTTTTCACAAAAATACTAAAATTTTCCTCCTTCTTTCTCCTTCCATACATTAGAAAAACTCAATTTTCCCTCCTCTTTCTCTTCCATAAAATTGAAAGAACCAAATTACCCTCTTTTTTCCTTCTACAAAAAGTTGAAAAGTCAAAAGTTTCCCTCCTTATTTCTCTTTCATAATCAAAAGAATCAAACTTTCCCACTTCTTTCTCTTCTCACATATAAAAAATTACCAAAATTCCCACTTGTTTCTTTTCTAAAAAAAATTCAAATAACCAAATTTCCCTCTTCTTTCTCTTCCCAAAAACTTGAATATACCAAAATTTCCCTCTTCTTTTAAAAACATCAAATTACCAAATACATTACATTACTTTATTTATATTTAATTGATAATTTTATTGAATAGTTAAATTAACCAAAATTTTAATTTATATATTATATTAATATTGTCATGATCTCAAGTGACCTTCATGTTTCAATTTTGGTAATTTTCTTAAAATACGTAATATCAAGTGAGTTTCATATTTTTTAAATTTCTTATACGAAATGAAAAAATAATTTTACTTAAGTTTAGAATGAAAAACTTTATTTTGAAAAACTATGTATTGTATATTTTTATAATTATTCAAGTGGATTAGATGAAATTCGGGTTGAGTCGGTCGGGTTACGGGTTAGTCGGGTTCGGATCAATCGGGTTCGGGTTAATCGGGTTGCGGGTCAGTCGGGTTGCCGGTCAATCGGGTTCGGGTTAATCGGGTTGCGGGTCAGTCGGGTTGCGGGTTAGTTGGGTTGCGGGTCAATTGGGTTGCGGGTCGGGCGGGTTACGGGTTGTTGACTTTTAGTCAATTCGGGTTGCGGTCGGGTTGCGGATTGGGTTGATCGGGCGGGTTAATCGGGTCGGGCTATGTTTTGACACCTATAGTTGTGAATAGTAAATGGCGAAGTTGCTAACAACATCTATCTATTCTACGCCGCTCGTTCAACTGTACCAATGGAAACACACATTGGCCTGAGATGGAGGTGAAAAGGTTTTTTGGAAAGCAGAAGAAGCAAGAAACCCCCACCCCTAGCTTGATTGGTCAATCTATCGTACGTACGTCAGACCTCTGTGACGTGGGTTCACTGTCTGCATGTACATTCGTCAAAAAAAAAAAAAAAAAAGACAGTGTGTTTGCATGTCACATTAATGGATTCAATGCTTATCACCAATTAAAAGATCACTGTCGCAACCGAACCGCTCGCTAGCTAGCTGTACGTTGCTTTGAATGCTTATTGACGTCACTCAATAAGCATATATATATATATATGTTCTCTATTATAGTGAAGGAAACAGGCTCCCCTTATCCTCCAAGTTCAGTAAAGATATATAGATAAGAAGAAGATGGATTACCGTAAGGAAATAGGTGGACTGAGATGGCGGAAAACGTCTCTTAAACCCATCAATATTGGGGAAGCAAACGCACGCAAAGGAGGGGAAGAAGAGGAGCTGTTGAGTCCAGCAGCTCGGTTGTTCCACGAGCCCAACTTCAATGTCTACATCATCGCCATTCTAGGTTGCAAGACCAGGATCGACCCCGATCTCGTCAGAGCCAAATTGCCCCACACTTTGCTCAAGCACCCTCGCTTCTCCAGTCTACAGGTATATATACTATTTCGAATAAAGATTTGGCCTAATGGTTCTACTTGCTATTTGTGTTCAATCTCAAAGTCTTAGATTACAATCTCTATTTATATGTTGGATGTATGATAGAAGTCAATATATATATATATGGTGACTACTTCAGTGCACTCACAAAAATGGGTGCGTTCAATGCACCCAACTCAAAAACTAGTCTTAAGGTGTCAGATGTTGAATTTTTATTTGTAGAATCAGTGTGATATGATGATATAACGTATGATAACAACTAATTAGCCGATTACCCTAAGTCTTAGACCTCCAATTTTGAGTTCTATCCCTAAACCCCAAATTGTAAACCCTAACCCTAACCCTAAATCTCTAAACTCTAAATCCTTCAAATTAAAGTAAATCTTCAATGGTTTTTGTGCAAATTCATGTGCGTTATTGTTCATCACATCATAAGCGATGATTGACATCATTTTTATATAAATCGCATGTTTAAAATGATTGTTATGAAGCGAGTGCACTGAACGCACCCAAAAAAGTGAGTGCACCGAATACGCCACCATATATATATATATATATATATATTAACTAGTTAGTGTAACTCAACCTTGCGTGCATGGCTTCCACGTGCACGTTGCCGATGGAGCAGGTTCCGGTGGAGGGCGGGAAGGAGGAGAAACAAATGAAGTGGGTCCCGACGGCGGTCAACCTCGACAACCACGTGATAGTCCCCCCGGAGATCGACCAGTCAACCTTCGCCGGCGACGCAGACGCGGGGAAAAAGTTCGTGGAAGACTACATCTCCGACCTCACAAAGACCAAGATCGACGCCTCCAAGCAGCCGCTGTGGGACCTACACCTCCTCAACGTGAGGACGTCGGAGCCGGACGCGGAGGCCGTGGGGGTGTTCCGGATCCACCACTCGCTCGGCGACGGCGTGTCGCTCACTTCCCTGCTCCTCGCCTGCACGCGCCAGATCGCCGACCCGGACGCGCTCCCCACCATCCCGACCCCACGGAAGAAGAAGGAGGAAGGTCGAGGGAGAAATGGCGGCGTCCTGGGACGGGGGTTTTGGCGGGCGGTGGTGGCGGTGTGGACGGCGGCGGTGCTGTTATGGAACACGGTGGTGGATGTCGCCGCGTTCATTTTGACGGCGATTTGGGTGGAGGACACGAAGATGCCGCTCAAGGGCCCGCACGGGGTGGAGTTCCTGCCGAGGAGGTTCGTGTGGAAGAGCATGAGCTTGGATGATTTCAAGCTCGTCAAAAATGCCATGAACGCGGTAAAGTAAAATCTATGCTCGCTTTTAGATTTAAGGGGTCAAGAGACCTAAAAAAAATAATTAGGGTTATAGGTATAATATGCACTTTTATTATGCAGCAGTTTTATCAAACATGTCATTTACTATTTTCTATATCAAACATACTTCTATAATTTGTAAAATGATCAAACTTGCTCTTTTGTTAAAATTTCTATCTAAAAACCATCAACCATGGTCGAACCTTGGTTGGGGCGACACCTATGTCTAAAATATTCCTAATAATTTCACTTTAGAATTGTTTTGTTTCTTTTGTATAGCCACGTACCTCTAATAATTTCACTTTAACGAGACCTGGAGAAATAAACGAGGAGGAAAAACTGAAGTTTCACCCCCAATTTTTTCGATGTCGGGTCGTGTGAATCTCGGTTAAGCCGTGGTTAACCATTTTTACTTAATATTTTAATATAAGGACATGTTTGATGATTTTTCCAAAGTATAGGGCATGTTTGATATAAAAAATAATAAAGGGACATGTTTGATAAACTTGCATAATAAAGGACATATTATACCTATGAAAAAAAATTAATTAACATCCATATAACTAACTGGATGCAGACCATAAATGACGTTGCTCTTGGAGCTACACAAGCTGGGCTGTCACGCTACCTCAACAGAAAACTTGGTAAACCTATTCTAGCCTTTCCTTTTTTTTTTTTTAATTGGTTGTTGGCTCCAAATATGATTGATTGATTACGATGAATTTGTGTTATAGAATTGATTGATTGTTTTTATAATATTATGCATTCAAATGTGTAAATTAATAATAGTATTAGTTATTCGTCAATATTCTCATATGTATATAAACAAGGTATGTATAGATTAGCGATAATGATGACTGAAAACATTTTCTCACATAATACAGAAAAATCGAAAAAAATTAAAAATCTTATCTCAAATTATTGTTAAAAATAACGATACTATAAAGATTTTCATCTTATTAATTTTACAAAAATTTACCACATTCTAATTCTAGAACAGGACTTCCACGTTTCCTTGGACGATCATGTAACTAGCCGAATGCATGCATGCTCAATCATTCATGTATGTTAATGCGCGCAGGAGGGAGTGAAAACGATGGAGAAAAGAACAACAGTCTCCCGGCAGCTGGAAGCATTCGCATCCGATCAACTTTGCTGGTGAACGTGAGACCGGGGCCAGGGATTCAGGCAATGGCGGACATGATGGAGAAGGACACAGAGGTTAAATGGGGGAACTGGATCGGCTTCATACTGCTTCCCTTCACCATTGGCATTCGAGATGACCCATTGGACTACGTCCGCCAGGCCAAAGCGGTCGTCGACAGAAAGAAGCGCTCCCTCGAAGCTCTCTTCACTTTCTCCATTGCCGAATTCGTGCTCAAGCTCTTCGGGACCAAAACATCCAATGCTCTGTCCCACAGAATAATCACCAGGACGACACTGTGCTTCACAAATCTTGTTGGCCCGCTGGAGGAGATTGGGTATTATGGCCATCCTTTGGCTTTTCTCGCTCCCACCTCTTTCAACCAGCCACATGTAAGTTTCCATCTTCTTAAGAATCAAATTCCAGCTAGCTAGCCGTCCCTCAATCCATATATAACTTGTTAATGCTGCCGTGTGTTCGTTCTCAAGGGACTGATGATCAACTTCCAGAGCTGTGTGGACAAGATGACGGTGGTACTGTCAGTGGATGAGAGCACCATTCCTGATCCGCACCAGCTATGTGATGATATTGTTAATTCGCTTGAGCTCATTAAGAATGGTGTCATATCTTCTGGGCTTTCTCAATCATGAAGTCTCTCTATATATTAATAATAATCTTCATGTGAAACTTCCACTTGTCCTTATAGATTAAGAATATATATGTATCCATGTCAAGGATCTATGTACTCCTGACAACAAATTATCATCAGAAATAATTGGCCTAATTCCCTGCTCTGCGGCTGGTCAAATGAGCCATATCTTCTTGATTTGTGATGGTTTGGAAAAATTAGCTATATTTTTTTTGCTCATGTTGGACCTTATGTATTGGGTTAAAGCATTCAGGGCATAGTTTATTTCTTATCCAAACTACTTAAACCTAAATTTTACTGAGAACTTTCATCGAATAAATAAAAATTATATCACTTTCTCAACATTGAATCTAGGTTAATGCAACAATTTTTAGAACAGGGCATATGCCTAAAGACTAAAGAGGTTAATGCAACAATTTTTACTATGGTTGCCAAAATTCCAAACGTTGTGAATATGGAGGATTTTTGTCATATATTCTCTTGCAACACATTAGCTTAGTTTGGCCCTGTTGTAGCTTTTGCAGAAGCAACTTCTGACTGGAACTTTTAGATAAGTACTTAAAGAAAAAACAGTTGAGTGTTTGGCTGGAAAACTATTAGAAGTGCTTTTTAATATAAGAGGTTGTGTAAAATGACTATAAAGGATTGTGTGTTTTGTTGTGGTTCTTGTTTAATTTTGGATCCAGCAATGGCGGAAGAGGTAGACCAAGGTAATATGTTCTATACTCGTTGTTGGGTTCAAGAGAAGTTGTGTTCTGTGGTTATTGATGGAGAGATCAAATCCAATTTGATCAGTTCAATGGCAGTAGTTAAGTTGGGGCTAACTGCACAACGACATCCTAGCCCTTTCTTTATGCAATTGTCGATGGAAAAGGCCTGGGTTTTTGTGTCTGAACAAGCGTCTTTGGAGATCAAAATCGGGTCTTATGTGGATCAAATTCACTGTGATGTCGTGCCTATGAAGCTTACTCAGGTGGTTCTTGGTAAACCATGGCACAATGATCACCAAGCACGACGAAGCAGGAGCACCAACAACATCATCATAAGGCATCAAGAAAAGAAACTTGCTTTGATACCATTATCGTTGGAAGGGGTTGCTGAAGATAGGAGGCAATTACAACAAGCCTATGAGGAGGAGCAGGCGAATCTTGAAGCAGAGAAATTGTCGATCAAATATCCAGAACCACAGAAGGAGAAAGAGCAAGAGGCTGCTAGTCCAAGATCCGTTGATGTTGATAAAAGTGATGCTTCTTTAAGTTCAATCCATGAAGAGGAAGTTGAGGTAGAAACTGAAGTCAAAGGAGAGAAAGAAGAGGTTCTTGTTGATGGGCTTACTATAGTCACTTGTGAAGAGGATTCACAAGTTTTGATTTCATCTCAAGAAGAACCAGAACATGAAGTAGAAGAATTAGAAGAGGCAAAAGAGGCGAAAGAAGATATTCGTGTTGATGTTCCAGATTTGGGTGCGCAAGAAGTTTATCAATTCAATAATGAACCAGAAATCAACGGAGGAGATGACTGCTTGGAAATTATAGAGCATTTACCAATAGTTCTTGAGTATGCTCATATTGATTTTGTGATTGGTGACACAATTTTTGAAGAGGAAGCCCACTTGGTGAACCGACTTGAAGTAGAGAGCTACATTGAAAGTTATGTAGAAAGCTTTCATCACAATGAAGTCTCTACAATTCGTGGACGAATTGTTCTTAAGAAGGGGGGATTAATACGATCCTCACGAAGACAATTTCGTTCGAAGAGCAAGAAGAGTGGCGCTGATCAAGGACCACAATTCCATAAAGATTCGCGATCGAATCTTCTTCAAGAGGGAGGGAATGATGCGATATCTACAAGCACTATATTACATTCCCGTGGTCCAAAAATGAAGATTCAAATTGAAAGATATAAGGATCAATTGGGAGCATTCTTAATGGATCAATTGTGTTCAGAATTAATTAATACCTGCCAATTTGGACGTGTCATGCATGGATTTTTAAACATGGCTGGGTTTGTGGTTCACGTGAAGGTGTTTAGAATTAATGGGTTAAGATGTCTTGGCTTGGAGCTGGACACGTAAGCCATGCATAAAGAATTGCTGCTTTGCTTGCATGGATTAATTATTTGTGGTGGACAAATTAATTCCAATCCACCAGAGAATGAAACGCAAGCCATGTAGCTCAATTACATGGATTGAAGAGGAGGAAGTAGTTTCCGCCAGAGAGAAGGAGATCCGTATCCGCTACGGAAATGTGGAAGTCCGGAATTCGATTCCGTGATGGAGAAGGACGAGCCAGCAGCGGTGAAATTGGAGTTTTATTTCTTTATTGTTATTTTGATTATTTAGAGTTTAGTTAGTATTTTTAGTCTTTATTTAATTAGTATAATATTTTCTAGTTAGTTTGGGATTTGTTTTCCTATTCCTTATAGATTAGTTTTATGTTTTTGTGACCTCTATAAATAGAGGATGTAAGAGCTACGAATTTGGTACCCAAGATTTCAGTTATCAAATACATTGAGTGTTTACTCGAGTTCCTTTGTGAACGTTTTGCTTAATCTCTCCTTTGAGGATTCGGGAGAATTGAGTGGTCTCTTATCAACTAGAGAACGCGTCTAGTTGTGGCGAGCATCGACTATATCGATTGGCCTTATCCACGGGTTCGAGATTGTTTGATTGGTTTCCTATACCAATTGGCCCTTCTCACGAGTTCGGATCTGTTTGATCGATTTCCGCAACTATCCTTTATTTTCGTGTCATTGAAGAAAGAAGAAAACCCCAAAAGAGTTCGGCGTTGCGCAATTCTGATTTTTGGTCCAAGTTTGGGTGGATTCTCGAATTAGGATCATATCATATGTTTAGCCGATGGGCTTTTAGTCCTTTCAAATGGATTTATAAGGGTTGTGATAGAAATAGTGAGGCTACTTCACAAGAAGAGAAGGAAATGATATCTGATTACTCTGGTTTCCCACTAGGAGATCTGTTTGTGAGATATCCTGGGGTTTCCCTAAATGATATCTGATTACTCTGGTTTCCCACTAGGAGATCTGTTTGTGAGATATCCTGAGGTTTCCCTAATCATGTGGAAGTTGACAAGGGGTGATTGCAAAGTATTGATGAATAAATTACACAGAGGGTCCGAAGTCGGAGGTCTAAATTTCTCAAGTTTGCACAAAAATTACAGCTTGTCTCATATGTTATTACTAATATTCTACAATTCTCAATGAGCTTGTTCCTCCTTCCATATTATACCATTAAAAAAATGGAAAGATATGTAACAATTTTGGGTGGGAGGTGAGTGAGACTAGTCTGAGATGTGGTTGGATTCAGTAGTGATTCAATTTGATAGGAATGGAGGAAACGCAATGCATTGGACTTTTTTTTATGTTAAATTATTTTATGTAACACCTTAGGCAAATCCCACATCGACAAAGCACGGGAGAGATCCATGGTTCATAAGTAGGAAACCGACCTTAACTGACAAGACGCGTTTTGGGGTGTAATGGAGGAGTTCTTGTGGGAACTCCGAAGTTAAACGTGCTCAGTGTGGAGTACAACAAGGATGGGTGACCTTATGAGAAGTCACCTTGAATTTCACCCCAAGTCGAAATCCGTGCGGGTGTAGAGGCCCAAAGCGGACAGTATCTTGTCGGGAAAAGGTTCGGGATGTTACATTTTATGTCTAATTTTTTTTTTTTTTTTTTGTGACACACCATTTATGTCGCCCATTGCCAAATTATAAGTAGTATATTATCAAAGAAAAAATATGCATTTAGGTGACATAAACAAAAGAGTCACATGTGATGGGAAATTAAGTGTCACCCAAAAAATGTCACTAAAACTATAATTTTATGTTGTGGGGAGTGGTGGCTTGGAATTTCATAGCGAAGCCAAAGAAAGAAGGAGGATTGGGTGGTAGGAACTTCACCATGTGTAATAAAGCATGCATAACAAAGACATCTTTGGGATACCTTGGATTCAGGGGGCTTTCAATGGGTAGCCTGGATCAAGAGGTACATACCAAAATACAAAACCATTTGGGCTGTAGAAGCAGCTACAGCAGGGTCTTGGATCTCGAGAAGGGTTCTAAAATTTTGGGGGTTGGCTAGATCCTTTATAACGGGTGAAGGTAGTACGTTGAAGTGGGATGGTTATCATATGGCAAAGTACTCTATGAAGAAGTATGGGATTCATATAAATTTAACGATCTAGAAGTAAACTGGGATAAGCTAGTATGGAGTAGACAGATTGTCCCCGAGCCTAAGTTTTATTCTTTGGCTTGCAATCCATAATAGGTTGGAAACTCAAGATGAACTACTTGATTGAGGAAAATAGTGATTGGACTATGTTTTCTCTACAATGGTTGAATAGAGTCCAGAAACCACCTGTTGGTGACATGCCCCTTATTCAAAGTATAATAGCTCAAAACAACGGGCACTGCACACATAGATACAATTTCCTATTCACATAGATACAAATTCCTATTCATTTGGACCTAATATTACTATTCACCTGACACTCTTCTGTGCATTCTCTTTGGAGGAGAGTTTGTGTGTCAGCTACTGGCGGGATGCCGATGTGTTCCACTTGGTGGCTGCCGTTTTGCCCTGCGGTTTCTTTGACAGGTGGTCTGTATGTGAAATTTGTCCTTCTGATGGGATGACCATTGCGACTTTTTACGGCTCCTTGGGCTGCTATGGACTGGGCCTTGGTGATCGATCGCGTTGGTCGCAGAGATGGTTTTGGGGCCCGTTGCTTTCTGACTGAGTCACGTCATGACGTGGGGTTTGCTGATGGGTGCTTTGAGCGCTAAGTGGGTTCTTTGGGAGCTGTAGCCGCCATTTTCCTTCTACTTTTTCCCTTCGCATTGGAAAGAGTTGCGTTGTTCAGCTGTGCGAGAATCATTGCTTGGGTAGTGGGTTGTGTAAGGGATGGTGGGGTTATCGAGGTAGGGGCCTTATTATTATATTTCAAAAGAAGAGGGTTTCCTTCTATCACATTTGGTTCTTTTGACGCTCAGTTTGTTCTCGCTTTCTCACACCTCATTTTCTCTCCATTCTCATTTGCTTTGTTCTACCTCTCGATGGATTCAGCTCTGCTGTGCAATTTGAGGGGAGGGAGCCGGGATGTTACTTTGCGCATGCGTCCGCTTCATATGTGGCTCGCAAAGACGCCTTCGGGTTCAAGAATTTTTCAACCACGGTTGTCTGTGGGCTGATCAGACGGTGAGTGTTTGTGAATCGGTTGCATTCTACGGCCTATTAAATTCATTTGGGGGGGGGGGGGGGGGGGGGGCTTGGATTGTGGGAGTTCTCTTTCTTTGCTCTTTGTTAATAGCTTTTAGAGTCGTTCTTAGCCTTGCTGCGACCCTCTATTTTTTTTTGGAGTTTTTCATGGCCTTCGGTTTTGTTTTCCTTCTGTTTGTGTTTGAGCTTTCGCGGTTGTCGTGTTCATTTTAAATTTCTTTTTCCTGTTGAGTGCTCATGTTTGTGTGCGAAATGCAGGGAATGCTGATCCAGTCGATTGCCAATCCTAAGATGGCGGCAGATACGAAGCGTGCTCTTCGCGTTAGTGCCATCTATGTTGTCAGCCGGTTCGGCCTTCAGTCGTCAAGGGGGCTGTATCGGGCTTGCTCTTTTGATCTAACTATCAACTTGACAGGGACGACAGGGTTTCAACTCTGCACTCTTCCGGCTGATGGATTCCCGACTGATTCTTTTGAGATAGTGTCGTATAGCCATTGCAGGGCAGGTGTTGGAACCATGCTATCCTCGCAAGTTGTTCTCTATTACTTTTGTTCTTTTTTACATTCAAGGTTCTTATATGCTTAGTTGTGGACTTGATTGATCCCTGTTATTTCCTCATTTGTGTGCATGGGTTTCTGTGTTGAAGATGTCATTGGCCACTTGCATGCTATCGGCGGCGTTAGGCATCGGGTCACCGAGTTTGGACCTACTCCCAAGCAGATGTTGGTGCTTGAGAATCATATGTATGTGTGTCGTCATATATGTTGCTTTTGAGAGTTTACCTTTTTGCTTGCTTATTGTATCCTGGCATGAAATGCTCCTGGATTCTTTAGGGGTGAGACAGTTACCATCACTCTTTGGAATGCACTTCCTACTATTATTGAGCGTCTTGCTTTAATCCAAGCTGACTTGATTGAGCATGTGATAATTGCTGCGGGGAGTCTCGTGGTCTCTCTGGTTAATGGTATGTGCTTCTTTGTGCTCATGTCAAGGATCACTTTGGGATCCAAAAGTTCTTTCGGTCCCCTTTGTCTTTATTTTGCATTTACATTGTTGCTTTCATTGGATTTCTTGCAGAGAATTATGTGTGCTCCAGTTCGTCGGCTACTAGGGTGGTTGTTAACCCACATATTCCAGAAGCAATTCATTTGGCCACCCAGTAAGTTCTTTTTAGTTTTGTGCAGCCGTTTTCAGTGATTTTCTAGCCCTTTTTATTGCTTCTTATGTTCTTTTGTTTTCAACTCAGCTTTGGGGGGCGAGGGATCCTGTGGCGGAGTTGCCAGTGGAGTTTGCCATGGCTGAGGCAGCTGCTGCTGATGCTGCAAATAGGGTCCGAACCATAGCTGACATGTTGGACCTTCATACTCTCGGAGGATCTGTGGTATGCATTGAGTATGTTTGCCTTGTGTTTACTCTATGTGTGTTTGCAGTACTGTTTGGTGTTTACTCTTTTTTTCCCTTTCTGTGTTCTGATGTCGTGGTGTTTAGGATGCCAAGTACAGTTGTAGTGGATTTGTTAAGTCTGTTGAGTCTCGAAACCCCTGGTATTACACTGCTTGCAATATGTGCTTGAGGAAGTGCTCTACCTAGAGAGGAGCTGGTTATTGGTGCCCAGAGCATTGGAAAATTTCTGAGCAGCATATTAGAATTGTGTGAGCATTCCGTTCTGTATCCATGTAATATAAGTTTTCAGTTTATGTTCATATGATTAGTTTATTTGATTTGCTTTCTAATGCACCATGTTATCTCATGTTTGTGGATTTTTAGTTATAAGATACAACTGACTCTAAGGGACTCGACCGGGGAGGCTCCATTTATAGTTTTCGGTTCCTGTGACAAGAGAACATAATTTGTTCTCACAAACATCTGGATGACATATTTTGAATCATTACCAAGTACCTCATTATTTGGCTTTTACTCAAAATCAAATTTCTGCCATACTCACCATGTGCAGCTCTCTGACAACAACTTGAAGCCCCTAAATATCTTGTGAAACCAGGTCAAACTTTAAATTCTGGGATTTTGCTGTTCAGTTCTTGGTGTTCTTCTTATGTTCATCATCCAAAATTTTAGGTCCACACATGAATCCAACAAAATGAAAAACTGAAGACAATGGTCGTTTGTTAAACACATAGTAGTGGGCATCCATTTAATTGTCAGGCCCGGGTACACGTTGGACTTGGATACACAAATGGACTATTAAGTGTTGGCCTTTAAGAACCCAATTCTAACTGCAGCCTTATAAAAAAAATCAATTATAAATCAGCAACTTTGGTTATGAGAGGTAGTCTGCCACCAAAATTTATTAACTCTTTTTTTGAATCTATTACCCAAACCCATCGCTGAACATTATCATGATTGTCGTATTATACGATATATTGAATATATCAATGCATCGATTTATCACAAGTCCCTGCGCAGAGCGCGGGCCACGATAACTAGTATATATAACGGGGAGTTGTTTGTGGGATAAGGATCCTCTAGTTCACTTAAAATGATTGGGACTGCTTGGTGCATTGGTGTGTGAGGTGATGGAATGATGCTTCTGTTAGTTGCAGTTGCCAGAGTGATCTGGAGCTTGGCTGTTCGATTAGTGTGGAGGGAGCGTTGCTCTAAGATGTTTGGCTCTGTTTGTGTCAACTCCCCATACTTAGTTGAGTACTGTCATTAGCAAATTATGAGGTACAGAGCTTCAAAAGACCCGGTTTTAAGAGAAAGTATGGCCAGGCTGAGAATTGAATGATTATGCTTAGGCCTGTCGGTTCGGTTCTGGTCGGGTAACTGAACCCGAAAATCGCAAAAACCCGAAAATCCAAAACCGGCTCCCACAAGCCCGAAACCGAAACCGGACCTGTGTTTTGCGGGTTGCGGGTTCAGAAACCCGAAAAGAGCACTGGTGGTTTTGGTTCGGTTTGGGTGAACCCGAAACCAAACCGGTTTAATTTTTTTTTAATACTTTTGTAATTTGAATTTTATATTCTTTTGTTTGTACAAACAATTTTATTCTTATTATTTGTACATTCTTAAACATAAAACATACTATTTTATTCTTATTAGTTAATTATTAAAATATTATTCTTATTATTTGTACATTCTTTTGTTTGTACAAACAATTTTATTCTTATTAGTTAATTATTAAAATATTTAATTTTATGTATTCTATAACTATAGACATATTATTATAATTTTATGTATTGCTATGTTAAGTAATACAACCTTTTGGGCCATTTAATTGTGGATTTTCATATAATTAAATGTTTTAGTAATACCATAAGTCCAAAATTGAAGGTACTATCATATGCAAAAAAATGATTAAAAAGCACTAAATTATAAATAATTTTGTTCAACATAAAATACCGACAAAAGATTATCTTCAACTCGTAATTAAACACATTAGTTTTACAATTCTCAAATGATAACATCCAAGTAAAATAAAAATTCATCCACCATACAAGATAAATACTACTACCATTATCACTCCTCATCAGGCTCTACATCTACATAAGTCTCATCATTCTCATCGGAATTGTTGTCGACATAGTCTTCTTCCACTTGTGACATAGTAGGACTCGAGACCAAAACATGGGTAGCAGGAGAGCTTCCACTAGGTCTTGCACGAGAGCTTCCACTAGGTCCTGCAGGTGCACTTGCACTCCAAGCTTGCTGCATATACTGGATAACATAAACAATAACAATTTGTTAGAATATGACTTGATCAAGATAACAAATATAAGAATAAAGAGAAAGATTAAATCCTTACCATTTTGAAATACCACTTCATCACCCTCATCTTCTCCATCAGCCACCAACTCGGAGTCTGAAGATCTTATCCAATCTTCACAAAAAATCAACGCCTCCACAACTTCATGGGATAAGGAGGTCCTAAACGAATCTAAAACTCGACCTCATGTGCTGAATGTCGACTCAGAAGCAACAGTGGAAATAGGAACAGCAAGAATATCCCTAGCCATCTCAGAAATAGTAGGATATTTCATCCCACTTCGCGACCACCATCCCAAGATGTCAAACTTGTATTCATCCTCTTCTGAACCCAATTCTCGTGTAACCACTTCATCATCCTCCTCCTCCTCAAGGTACCTATCAAACTCAGATTTTGAACTTTTTCTGGTTCCTTTCAGAATGGCATCTCTTTTCATTTTCGTGAAATCACCCCAAATCTTCCCTTTCTTCTTCCCATCCCCACTTCCACTAGGTTCTTGCTCATCTTCCTGAATCACAATCTGCCATGAATTCCGAGTTTATGCTTGTAATGGTCAAACAGAAGACGCATTTCATCTTCCACCTCTTCGACCAAAGCTTTACCCCTGCTCTCGCCATATACCTTTTTTAAAGCTTGTTCAAGATATTCAACTTTCCGCCTAGGATCTAATATGACTGCCATATAACACAACCGATTCATCTTGGAATTCTTCAACTCATCTTCAAACCAATACTTGACAAGTTTGGACTTGATTCTATCAGCCATGCAAGACACCTCAAAATCTATACCATCAGCCCGCTCAGATATCATAGTATACATTTCACATACCTCATCAAACAAGAGGTATAAAGTCATATATGAAGTCCCAGAAACTCGAACAGTCAAATCATAGAATAGCTTCAGGTAATCAATCAACCGTCCCACACTAGACCAATCATCAAAAGTCGTGATACCAAGACTTTCATTTCCATATTTTTTTTCATTGAGATGTTTCTTGAATTTCTTATCATTTCTAGCTAATGTCTGAAATGCTTTCTCAAATGGCTTTGCAGATTCCAACATCAGATACGTTGAGTTCCACCTTGTAGCTACATCCAACGAAACAAATTTCTTCGACGCTATCTTTTCAAACTTAATGCAATCTTTAAATTTTCTGCTCCTAGCTGGTGTAGATTTAACCCACTTCACAGACTCTCTCACTCGCTCCACAGATTTACCAGTTTCTTTAATCCCATCCTTCACAGCCAAATTAATAATGTGAGCCACACACCTCATCTGCAGATATTTTCCATCCAAAATATCTGATCCCTACTCTTTCAACTATTCCTTCATATGGATAGCAACCACATCATTGACACTAGCATTGTCCATTGTTATACAAAACACCTTCCTAATGCCCCACTCCACCAAACAACTAGCCAACTGTTTTCAAATTTCACTTTCAGAATGTTTTGTAACTTGGACAAAGTTAATAATTCTTTTATGCAATTTCCAATCTCTACCAATGAAATGAGCATTAATGCACATATAATTGAGATTGGACAAAGAAGTCCAAGTATCAGTGGTGAGCGATACCATCCCTAAACACTTAGTCTTGAAATAGTCCTTCATCAACTCTCTATTTTCAAAGAACACCTTGATACAATCCTCTCTAACGGTCTAACGGCTAGGTAACACAAACATTGGACAAACACGAGCCATAAACCGTTTGAACCCTTCATGTTCAACATACCTAAATGGTAATTCATCTATGATAATCATCTCCGCTAAAGCTCTCCTAGCATCAATCTGATCGAATTTCCAAGTCCCAAGAGTGTGTACCTGGCCTCCAGAAGATGATAGATGGTTGACTATCAGCTCACCCTTTTGTATCTTTTCCAAACAACTATCTTTATGATTCTACAGAGTAGAAGTCCCATAACTAGTGGGAGCCATAAGAACACCATTGCAATAAATGCATCTTGCTTTGTCCACTCCATCCTTCTTAAAACGCTTGAAGTGTGGCCAACCGTCAGACTTTTCTTTCCTTTTTCTTGAAATTGTCTCCTCGTCTATTGTTTGAGCAGGAGGTACATTGGTGGTACCAGTAGAAGGTGCAAGAGCAGGAGTAGGAGAAGCTGATGGTGCGTCACTTTCCCTGTCAAAATGAAAAGTTGAGTGTTATGAGGGTGACATTAATTCCTGGGGTATGTTCATGTTGAAACAGCAACAACATCAACTTGTTCTAATAGTAAGGGAATCACAGTGCAGATCAATTTATAACATCTGATTATATATATATTAGCTAGCATATTCTTGTAGCACACAATTAAACCTGCAGGTAAAATAAAGTTGGTGAGCATGACAACATAGTGTTGTTAAGTATATGTGGTCACCATTGCATTACAAGTAGAGCGAGAGACCAGACACGACAGCCTCCTCATCATCATGTGACATGTGCGGCACAGAACATGAACTCCCCCATGCCCATCAAAAAGCCCTCAATTCCTCCCTTTCTCTCTCACTTGCACCAAAAACTCCCACCAACAGAGCTGCCCCTTCCCGTCCTTGAATTTTTCCAAACAGAGCTGCCCCTGCCCCTTCATCGTCAACCTCACCTCCGCCAATAGAGCTACTCACGAACTTGCCGCCTCCACCAACATAGTCTCGAGAGAGAACGAAGAAGAGGAAGCGGTGAAGCAAGAAAAGAATGTGGCGGAGTCTGAGGGAGATTGGAGGAGATAGATCAGCGGTGTAGTTTGGCGCATGCAGAACCCAACGGAGAAAAGCTCGAGATGGGAATCAATAATCGTCGACGGTTGCAGCTTTTGTTCTTAGTTCCACCACAAATTGATCAATCCCACCATCAAACCTCAACAAATTACTTCCCTTCTTCCTTCCCCCACCACCACCCTCACTTACAATTCAACCATTTCCCATCTCCAAACTTTCTCAGCAACCAAACAGAAAACAAAGTCGAATCCACCCACGACACTAAACAACAACAACAACACAACCACTACTCACAATTGGATCCTTTCGCCTCTCCAAGCTTCCTCCGGAACCAAACAAAGAAGCAAATCGATTCGACCCACGACCCTATGCAACTTCTCCGTTTGGAAAACCATTCTCTTTCCACGACCCACCAATTCCACAGAGATGCACAAACATAAAACAAATTCACCATTCCAATTGACCAGAAAGTAGCAACTGGGTAGAGAGTAGTAAATTGACCATTCCCTTTGGAGCAAAGGGAACCCAGAAAATCAACCCACAACCAAAACAACTCAACAGCAAGCAATCAGAAAGCAATCAAAGGCAGAAGCTTACTGGGATTCCATCTCTGTTTTGTACGGTGATTTAGGATGTGACCAAAAGCAGAAGATTCAAACCCAGAGGAGTTGCTCGTGAAATCGCCAATCTCCACTTCTGCACCCTGTCGTCTGCTTCTGGCTCTTCGTTGTCGATGGGTGGATCAGCGACGAGGAACACTGAATATTTGTGTTACCCAGATGCGGCCGACGAGAAACAGAATAACAGGGGAATGATTTGATGGCAGTCTGGCGGCGAGGCGACGGATTTGATGGCAGTCTGGCGGCGAGGACGATGATGGCGGCCGACGACGGATTTGATGGCAGTCTGGCGACGAGGACGATGATGGCGGCGCGGCGAGGAGGCTCTGTTTCATCTCGCTCTGTTTCGGCACGAGGTGGAATGGAACCAAGCGAAAGAGACGGCGACGGAACGAGGTGAAGGGCTGAAGGGCGGGTAGGGTTGCTACTTGCTATAAAAAAAAAACAAAACGACGACGTGTGCTGACTGATGCTATCGGGTTTTGCGGGTTTTGGTAAACCGAAACCGCTGCAGTGTGTGTCGGGTTGAACCCGAAAAAACCGAAACCGGCACTGTAATATATCGGTTCGGGTTTGGGTTAAACCGAAAACCCAAAACCGAATTGACAAGCCTAATTATGCTTACATATGATAGGTATAGTTTTTCCTTTCTTCCATTGTTGTAAAAAGTAGATAGTGAGTTTTCCTTGGATAGATGTTGCCTTTGATGGTTGTAAGTTTTTTATAAGCACCAAATAATTTTAGCTTTGGGTTGTTGTGCTTAATGAAATTTGATTCAACTAGAAGAAAAATATAGAATCTAGGTTGAAGGGGCTAGTAGCTCTGATCTTTCCACTTTAATATTTTATATTAGGGTTGGGAAAATAGTCTCGATTATTCAGCCAAATCTGAAATCATATCATAACTCCCGGTCATATTGAAACCGTAAATGGTTTGCAATGATGGTAGTACATGGGGGTGGGAAAGGCTTAAATTTAGATTTTGGTTCCAACGATTTAAAATCTTTAAAGAGCCAGAAAGTCAGGGTAGACAACAACTTTGGTCTCACCCAAAAAGTCGGGATAGACGGCTACCTCAGTCTAATCCAGAACTAGATATGGTTCAACTCACCAAAAGACCAAGAGGCTCCTCGTCTCCTCGCCCATTGATAACACCTAAAATAAGTGTTGTTGGTCTTTCTTATCTAAGGGGTCGTTTGGATGGAGCATTCTCAAAATGAGACAATCTTGAACAAAAGACTCATTTTTAGAATATGAGTCAATTGATTGAAAAAATCTGCCAAGAATATATCGTTTGGAATGAGTTCTGAGATAAGTGAGTCATTTTGGGTAAATACCAACATACCCCTATCTTCTAGAACTCCTACGCTTGTGTTGTTGCAACTTTCTCATCCCTATTTCTGGGTTTTCTTTCTCGGGAAATCTCAGGAGATCCCCTAGAATTCACCTTCTATAAGTGGCCTATCCTCTATTTCTTCTGCAAATTTCTCGTCCTGCTCTGATGAGCTTCTATTTTACAGGGATAGATTCTTTGTACAAGTGGGATTTCATATAACCCACAAACAAAATCGACAATTTTAAGGAATCATAACCGAAAAACCAACAAAATCGAGGAAGAAAAGTGAGGTTTAGGCTTTGAGTGCAATTATCATTTCTCCACGACTCTTAAAGGTCTGGCAGAGACCGTCGGAGATTTGAATAAAGAGGAGGAAGAAGGCATGGGAAGAACAAGAAGACGCGTGTCTCGCCACAGAGAGAAGGGAAAAAAATCTACTTGTCGGCGCATTGAACTTCCTTTCTTGACTTGAGCGGAAGTGGTTGCGAAGGGTTTGGCTGTCGGGGAGGCGATCGCCTGTTGCGCATAAACCTTCAATGGTGGTTCAACTGCGATGAAACAACCCACTACTATGAATTTTGAAAAAGACATTTCTACCCCGGGGTATATTTAAAAATCTCAAATAACACCACTTTAAAAATAAATACTAATCTCAAATATCTTAATATCTCAAACGAAGCCCTAAACACGTGAGCAAAACATAAATCGTACTCTTAAAAGAAACAAAAGAAATGAATCTCTAGTCTTAAACTCATAACCACAAAGTCTTAAGAACTTAAGTAGTTCTTCGATGCTAAAGCTCTGACGCCAGGCTCGACATCCCTCAGCAACGGTGGTGTTGAGCTCCTCTAGCTTACTGATCACGGACTGGTTGGTTGTGATCTACGATCTGGTGAGTGAGTTGGGGTCAGTCTACGCCCTTACGTTTGAAATATCTAGCACTTCTTACTTAAGAACTTAAGTTAAACTGGTGGATGATACTTCCACTCTTTAAAATCTATTCTTAAAGCTCAAATCTTAACTTAATTATTTGACTGACACTGAGATCCCTCACTAGCTAGTCCGGTTGCCAACTCATACGTATGAGAAGCCATCCAGGCTTTCCTTAAACTTAAACTTAGTTAGGGGATTCGTAACGATTCATCCCCCTAACATCTTAAACTTATCGTGGTGGCTCTTCACCATTATTCTCAAGAGCATAACTGATGCTCATCTTAAAATATCTCAAGAGCATAATTGTTGCTCATCTCAAAAGTCTCAAACGACAACGGACTGGCGCTAGTGACAAAAACTCTTAAAATGACTCCACCTTTTGAAGGTGAAATACTTCTTAAAAAGAAACTTGTTTCTTAAACCTCAACAACAACTCATAAATATAAAAGCTTTAAAGTAAATAATAACTCATACATAATCACTTCAAGCAAAGCTTAAACCACGCACATATCATCAATCACAAACACAATCAAGGAGTAACAATCACTTCATCAAAATACTTAAAGCTCGTAATACTTGAAAGAACACGTAAGGCGTAGAATTTACCCCCTTTACACTCACCTTAAAAGGAGTACTCCTCGATTCCTTACTCGAAAAAATCCCTCCTAGCCGAATTATCTCGGCGAACCTATTAATAAGAAGGCCATCTCCTTAGTCGACCTTTCTCGATTTAAAATTCCCTTTTGAATCACTAGAACATCCTCTCCTCAAAATCCAGTCCTCGAACCTCGCTAAAAAATTCCCTTAACCCCTTTAAAAGTTTTCTAGAATTAATCCCTTCAAAACCGACCATTTTTCTTAATTATTTTTGTCTTGGACGAACTTTTGACCTAACTTGAACCTTCTTAAAAAATTCGGATAATAATTTTTCCATGTCAATCATGAGCACCTATACCCTGGAAAATTATCAAACCCTTAAAAATCCCTCGGTAAGATTTTTATTTAATTAAAATAATCGTTCAAACAATTTCTAAAACTAGAAATTCATCTCTAAAAATCCCCAAATTAAATTACAGCTATCTCCTCAACCTCCCTCAATTTATAAAATTTTTAAACCCAGAAACAAACACCCACGGAGGTTTAAAACAATTTAAAATATCTAAAATATGTTTTTGGAAATTCCGAGCAGCTTTAGTGACCACCCAAAATCCGTCACTAAAATTCTGTAAAGTCTGTTGCTAAAAACCCAGAATTGCACCCTCACGAAAATTCCCCAAATTAATCTATCTAAATCAAAGGGATCGAGTTCCCTTACCTCTAGATCGTGTCTAGGACTAGATTAGATGACCTGGGACGTTGATCTCCTCGCTGATCGATGATCAAACCCTCTAACCTCGCCACAAACGCTATAGTACATAAATATGAGTTTCATATTAGATTATCGATGAATTGAGTTTGGAATCACGAAAAAGTTCGTGGCCATTACCTAGAAACACGAAAGGGATGGGCTGGGGAATCGAGATCGTGGACTGACATAGGTGGCGGCGGTTGGGGGGAGGGGGGGGGGGGGACTGCCGCCCCCCTCTTTTCCTTCTTCTTCTTGCTTGGAAAAGAACTGGTGGCGGGGCTCGCTGAGCAAAGGAAACTTGCGGCGGGGAAAATTTCACAGGGGATGATGAAGTTGTTGCTGAATGGACGACGCTAATTTGGATATGACATTTCCCTCCCCGTTAAGAAATTTTGACCTTTAAATTTTGTGCTGGCCTGAGTTGTAAGCTATGATGGCACATAACTGCCTCACTGGGTCTATTATTGAAATATCGAGTGCTAAAACTAAAAGTGCGTTTTTCAAAGAAACAGCCAACTAGCGATCTACACTTTAAGTATATACTTCCTCCTCACAGTCTCCCATTTTCTCCACATGATCACATCAATGTGTTTTCTCATTCCCTTCATCGTCTCCACAGTCGCTCTCTAATCCTCTTATGGCAAATACTCTAGGTTGCCCACCAGCTCTCGACATTTGATTTTGGTCATTGAACCGTCTTCCATTGTTGTTGTAGGATTGATTGGGTTGATTCCCAAACTGTTGTCCAGTCTGGGTTCTACCTCCTCCGCCCCGGACTGATTGATTAGACTGGGCTCTCTCTTGCCCTCTTTTCCCATGGAAATCTCTTGCATAGTGTCCCGACTCATTACAATGATAGCAGATGCCTCCCAGGTACACCTTACACTCTCCCGGGTGAGTTCTCCCACACTGGTTGCATGGGTCATGTGGAAAGTAGGTCAACCTGATCTGGTTGAGCCGACCTGGCTCTGGGCCGCCCCATAGTAGCTCTGGAATGGTTTCCTTCTCTGTGGACTAGGCTTTCCTGACCCTTCAGACAGGCTAGCAGTCTTTCTCTTGTTCCCTTCTTGTTGCACTTCTCCTCTTGCGGAGCTATATCTGCCCTCTCCAGCCAAAGAGCTGTCTGATAGATCTCTTACCTGTTGTTCCAATTCTGTATACTTAGTTGGCGCCTAAGAGCAGGCTTCAGGCTCTTCAGGTAATGGGTGCGTTGAGCTGCAACATCCTGAAATTGAGGTCCTCCATAGGTAAGTAGCTTGTCAAACCTGGTCGTGTAATCAGTCACACGTTCCCTGCCTTCACTGCCCCACTTCTGTCTGATTAACAAAAATTCTCACTGCTTCCCGATCCGGTAGGCATCTAGTATGAAGTGGTCTTTGAATAGTTGCACGAAATCTGGCCAAGTGATGGTCGGTAGATCCTCTCGACTAGCTGGTTGGGTAGTCCACCAGTTCTATGTAGCGTCCTGCAGCAAGGACACTGTCAGCAGTACTCTGTCCTCGTCATCAGCCCTCATCTCGATCAGAATACGAGTGACCTTGGCTAGCCACTACTTTACTTCCATGGGGTCCGTGGAACGCTCCACCTTAAAATCTTCCACCTTACTCTTCCGGAAAGCTACATAGTCCGGTGGAGGTCTCACTAGCGGTGGAAAAGGTGGTGTGGGATTCATCCCAACACTTGCACTGTAGACACATAGAGTCTCATTAGAATTCAGTTATTTCTTCCTTAATATGGTTTTGAGTAGACTAGAGATTCTAAATTCTTAAAAGAAATCCTTGACT